ATAATTTAACTGAAAGGTTTATTTTACCGCTGGAAAGATCAGCACAAACCATTCAATCATTTCCTAAGGTATTTCTGGGTTATATAAAAATGTCCGTAGTTGTACTTTTGGTAAACAATGAACGTCTATAGTCACAGACCAAGTGTTGTCCTTTGACATCCCCATATCTCAGTTCGACAACGTACTGAGTGTAACAATTAAACCTATTGTCGATTCACATGCTGTCAGTACAAATCTCCTCTTAAACCATTTTAACCCACTCAGTCAGATCAGTTCCTGATTAAATGATATCGATTATTAGGAAGAAAGATTTATTTTTCTCATTATCACGAGTAAGCTATGCTGATAAATGTCAACATGCAAGAGGCCAAGCTTGAATAATATGAGTTATCTTCTAATTCATCCTGATTATTCAATAGGTCGAAGCAACATTTAGTATTTTGTCGTAATCCGACGCTTATATATGACATAGTTATTCAAATTTTAACTATTTATGAATGCCTAACGTCCAGTTATGGTGGATACATTATGTTTGTTTGATTTATTTCGACAAGTAGGAACAAGCATACACACAAAACTATGTTTAGATTAACATATTTAGTATAGTTTCATTAAAACTTGTTAGGAATATAGAGTAAAACAAGCACAAATACATTGTCCAACAATTAATTGAATCAAATAATTATTTTCTAATAATTACGGCTATGAATAGCCATTATTTTGCTAAATTTACTCCATTTAACGCTTCATTATACCAAGCAGTATCAATGTATCATAATATATTCACTATTTATCGACTAGAAAATTACGTTTTCAAACACTTATTTATTTAGATGTTTAAGTAGACTTGTTGAAGACAGCCTTTTATCCAGGACTAATATCGAAATAACTTAAGTGAGATATATGTACTACTAAGCTTCCCATATACGGTCTAAACATGTTGAATCAGCTGAGACCTGAAATTTCACTGGTTTAGCCCAGTGTGATGCAGTGAATAAGCATTAAAAAGGAGTCTCATATTAGGAAAAAAGGATGTCCAATGCCATCTAGTTTCTAGTGCTTCTCTGGGGCTGTTAGTTTGAGGTGACTACACTATCTTGTGTTATGTTACGCACCGAATCACTAGTTATGAGTTGTGAGAGCTTCAACCTGGAAGTCTACATCGATATAACCCAAATCAGGAGAGTCAGTGAATTTATGGATTAATGTCATGTATTGGTTTGATCGATCTCAGCTTTTTTCATTCTTTATTCCCATCTCAGACGATGGCTATATATACGAAACACATTTCTCAACTGCATCATGTGAGGTCACAGTCTGTTATAACGGAATGAATATTCTAACCCATATTCATGGAAATGAATGTCTTACTGTGTATGCCGCGCAATGCGTTTCTCGGTCTGCTTCTTCTCCTTTTCCCTTCAAGGTTCCAAGTTAGCGCTTGCTTCGTGATACAGCATGATGATTTCCGTAATGTATGTCCTATCCACTTCCAACATTTCCTAACTTCCTCTTCAGTTGGAAGCTGGTTCCCTCTCTTCCACAGTAGGTTGCTGCTGATGGTATCCGGTCAACGGACATTGAATATCCTGTGTAGACAACTGTTTATAAATACTTGTACTATTTTGATGATGGTTGTGTAGTTCCGCCATGTTTCAGCACCGTACAGTAGAACTGTCTCGACGCTCGTATTGAAGATTCTGACTTCGATGTTGGCTTGCAGACAGTTGTTTTGAGTTCCATATGTCCTTCAATTGTGTGAATTGATAAGTCTTACAATTTGAACGCTATACTCGGTTCCTAAGCTATTCTTGTAACCCCAAACTAGAACTATACAGCGACCTGAACACGAGAGAGAAGGCGCAAAGTATGAGAAAGTACTTTACTCCAAAGGTTCATTTTAATACAGAAAATATAGGGTTTTTATATTTTAAATTCTGGAATGCTATTAAACATAGTAGCAGTATGACAATCAGCCAATCAGAACCTCTGCTCGTGACGTTTCACTTCCCTGATGTTTCTGGCTAAAACTTCAAGTGAACGCTGATTGGATGAAATGCTTCTTAGTGTTTCCTGATCCTTGCTTGTCTTTTGCGAGAAATTTTCTGGATCACCACAACAGGAATACTGTCCTTGCTTTGGCAATCCTCGCCTTTACGTCTGCATCTGATCCTCCATGTTTATCGACGATACTAACTAGGTAAATGAAAATTTCTACCTCTTCCAGAGCTTCTCCATCAAGTGTGATTGGGTTAGTGCTCTCCGTGTTGTACTTGAGGATCTTGGTTTTTCTCATGTGTATGTTGAGGCCTGCTGCTACACAAGTTGTCCTCACCAGCATTTGTTGATGTGTATGGGATGGAAGAGCCAAGTCATCTGCAAAGTCCAAATCGTCTACTTGCATCCAACCTGTACCCTGCTTCGTTTTGAGCACCCGGGCAGTATCACAGCCACTACACAAATCAAGTAACTTGTGTAGCGCATATGTATTCGGTGCCCCTTTGTACCGATACTTAAGTGTTCAAATTATTAAATAATACCAGGGGGTTTTGTGGAGGTTGTAGGTCCTGGGTTCGAATCCCGCGATGACGGGTCGTGGTTGCGCACTGCTGGGGAGTCCCACATTAGGAAGAAACAGTCGTCCAGTGCTTCCAGGTTTTCAATGGTTGTCTAGCTTCAATTGACTCATGATCTCAACTACTGAAATAAATAATAACCTGTTCATTGTATTACGTGCTTAACATCAGATGTAGAGATCGTCATAATCTAATCAACCACCAGAAGAGAAAGGCAGAGAGTAAGCAACCTTGTCTGACACTCGGCTTTACTTGAAATGTGTCTGTCAGCTGTTCTCCATACACCACTTTGTAGTGTAGTCCATCGTATGAATCCTGGATGATGTTGACGATTTTATCAGGTACACGAAGGCTCCATAATGTCCGCGATGTCAAACTCCTCATAGATAAAGTTGATGTATAGTGACGAAAAGTCATTCAATTGATTGTTCAACGGTGATCCGTAGTGTCATGATTTGATCTATGCACGATCTATAGTTACGGAATCCAGACTGTTGATCTCGAAGTTGGGCTTCTATCAAATCATTCATCCGGTTCAACAACACTCTGTTGGAAACTTTTCCCGGCACCAATAGTAGTATGATGCCCCTGTAGTTCCCAGACTTGCACAAAGCTCCTTTCTTTAGTATTTTGATGAGGTCTCCTTCCTTCCAGTCTGTCAGCACTTGTTCTTCCTTCCAAACCTTCTTGAATAGAACGTGATGTTTGTAGTTAGTTCTATGTCTGACTTCAGCTGGAATATTTTCAGGTCCTGCTGCTTTCCCACTCTTCATTTTCCTGATGGCCGGAATGTCTGTAGGTGCTACTTTGATGTCCGGTGAATTCAATGGAGATGGTCTATTCAAAAGTTTCTCAAACTGCTCAACGCATCTGTTCCTCTGTTCTTGAATCATAGTGATGGTCCTGTCTTTTTTGTACTTCACTACTCGTACTGGTTTACTATATTTCCTCGCTAGTTTCTTCGTTGTCATATAGCTGTCTGATATATCCTTCTCTTGCAGCTTTCAACACTGTCGTTGCTAACTCCCCTAAGAATTTCTGCCTGTCAACTACAATGCTCTTCTTCACCCGCTCGTTTACTTCTGTGTATTCGGACTGCGTCTTGACTTTCTCAGTTCTGGTTCGGCGGTTGTTAATCCCTGTCTTCTTCTTCTTCTTCCCTCCTCGAATCTTATCCAGGGTTTCCGTAGAGATCCATTACTTATGATGACGCTTCTTGTGACCAGCACCTCCTAACACGTTGAATCCAGCGCTTCTTTAATCCCTCTCCAGTTGTTCTCGATACCAGTTTTCTCTTCTCTCAGTAGAACTTGTAAGACTTACAAACTGTTGTTGAGAGCTGTCTTGAATTGGTTGAGTTCGTCAGTATCTCGAAGGGAGGCTGCAATGCCATTCCTACACTGTCCAGTGCTTCCCTAGCTTCAGTTTCATCTTGGTAACCAACACGTTGTGATCTGGAGCTATGCCAGCTCCACTCCTAGTTCTCACGTCTTCCATCGAACTGATGAACTTTTTAATCATACAGATATGGTCGATCTGGTTCTCCGTGGTGACCCGGTGAGACGCATGTAGCTTGTGTATGTGTTAATGGGGTAATACAGTGCCAACTATAACCATTTTGCTGAAGACACGTAAATCTCTCGTCATCCTCATTTTCTTACTCCCAGTCAGTTCATGTCGTTCCTTCATGATATCTTCATAACCGGTGTTCTCCATTCCAACTTTGGCGTCTAGATCTGCCATCAGGATGATCAGATCTTTTCCTGGACACTTCGCTATGATTGAGTGCAGGCTCACATAGAACTGATCTCTAATATCATCGTGGCTATCATTGGTGGGTGTATAACACTGGATAACATCCATCGTGATTCCCTTCTTCTTTATTTTGAATGATGCTTTGATGATACTGAGTCCATGAGACTTTTATTCTTAAAGTGCATTTCGTGCTTCTTTGGTCAACACCAGGGCAACGAGCTGATTATATGGAGCATTTTCTTCTTAGTGACCGGTGACTAGCTCTTACAGTCCAGCTTGGATCCACTGTGTTTCACTTATTCCAAGCACCAGCAAGTTGTATTTCCTCATTTCCGTAGCTATTTGACTAGTCCTTCCGGTATCCCACATTGTCCGGACAATCCGCGTACCTATATTAATCGTCTCTCTGATTGTTAAAAGGGCATCAGCCTCGTGACTTCCGAAGAATCTCGGCTTTAACCTGAATGAAGATCCTTCAACTTCCATGTCAGAGCTTAAATAGTTACTAATTCTGGTTAGCGTTTTATTAGCAAGATTTTTTCTACGGGATGGGGTTGCTGACCCCATGCCCAAACCTCCTACCTCACCCGACCTTGGGACCGATATTAAACAGACAGCTACATACAGAGTTACCCTTCAACTAGCTTTACAACATACAAAAGTATAATCTGAATTGTGTTTGATTTATTATGATATACAAACGATGTGATTGATTAGCGATTACAACAACAAAACTATCATCACCTTTAGCAAAATAAAGATATGACAAAAAAGCGGGACAATGTTACCTGAACAATGTATTTAGAAAGAATAATATGATAAAAAAAGGAAATTTGACCTAAGAAAATGTTCAGTTCAAAAAAATTGGTGCTGTAACATAATTATCGACATAGTCATGAACAATTTATGAATGGAAACAGTAATCTTATCGTAATGAAACAAACAAAATGCACTATTTCGTTTGTTAGCTTCGATTTAAATGGAAAAACAACATATGGATGGAAATAACAACTGATAAATGAGTGATTTACAAGTGAGTTTATCTCATTATCATCACACAAAATAGTGTAGTTGATCTAATTCTTGAAAGAACAGTATATGGAGACTTGTTTGAGTGCGCACTACATTTGAGACCCATCGGCAGCAGTAGCGATATTTTCTGGTCCAAGTAGAGAATTATTTCCAGACCATGGAGTTTCTTTCCATATGAACCATAAACCAGCTGCCCATAGAGCAACATTAGTAAACCCAAATATCTAATTTATATAAATTAACAAAAACATACTGGATTATTAGAGTTACAAATTAGATCTTCATTGGCTGGTTTAATTCAGATACAAAGATTAAAATTTGTGTAAAGCAGAGACATTAAGCCTTATATAATGACTTATTTAGAAGTCCAAAAACCAAGATCCATAAATAACTCACCAATGAAAACCTATTCGTAAAGATGAATCATTCCGTTCACCTAAAGTGAGTGTTAAGGATTAATTTATCATGTATTACTTTGAAACAATTTTGGTTCCGGATTTGAAGTCATTAAGATGGCCTCAAGCGATATTTTTGCATTTGAGTATTCCTTATTTCACATCTGGAAACCGTAATTACGCGGCATATTATAGGTACTACCATCTCAGTCAATTATACGCAGAGAATAACCTGGAACGTTTGTGCGACGGTTCTAATTGTTGTACACTATTAGCACAGAGAGATGAAATAGTCAAGGAAAATCTAAGAGTAGTGAGAGTGGCAATAGTTTAAAGAACTAAGAGATTCGGGGAAAAAGGAAGGACTTTGCGGGCAAGGTATGATACAGTTTTAAAACAAAATCTGAGAGAAGAGGAAGTGCGTCTGTACTACTGTAACCAATTTTGAGTCACGTCACCTGTCTTTAACTACTGGTTATGATAATCTTACGGACCTCAACCAGGGAGTTCGCACCTATTTACATGGCCCAGTCCAGTAGTCAGTGTCTTCATGGACTGTTGCCATATCTTGCTTTGGCCGCCCATAGATTTCTTCCAACCTACTTCTATATCAGTCATCATTGACGGTCGAGATAGTCGGTGGATGGATGCACGTAATATGCATATTGTTTATTCTTACCAATTGCGGATATCAATATAGAGTTGTGAAGATTGTTCAGTTTTAATTGATGCCCATTTTACTTTCGTCATTCAAACAAATACTGACTACATCGCTTTCTTCCCTGCTTCATTGGCCACGGCTTTTGACTGAAGAGTATAATAGTATTGTACTGACATTTTGGACCACTCTTCATTAGATGAGACTGTTGGTCTGGATTACTTCCTGATCACGCTATTGGATTTATATTTGTCTTCACTCTGTTGGTACGAACCGTGTAGGATGATATTCAATAATTAAGTGAACTCCATTTGTGAGTTACCCAAAAAGGAACTTATAAGTAACATTCATTACATAATGGTTATTGTTTGTCATTCAATGCACAACATAACTTTGCTATTTTTACCGTCTTATTTGTATATTATCATTACGCCATTTTCGCATTGATATTTGTTTTACACATTATTGGACTACTACAACCATCATCAAAACAGTACAAGTACTTATAAACAGTTGTCTACACAAGGTACCCAATGTCCAGCGAGTACAGGTGGACAGCTGTTCATCAGATACCTGTCTAGTCCAAGGGGATAACGAAGAATACCGGTTTACTCAAATTTTATCAAGGGAAAAATTGGAGTGCAGAAGGAACAGGACCGCACGATTTTGAAAGCTTTTTTAATATTGTTCTCCATAACGGGAAAATAGCCAACATCCAAAAAGGCTTCTTTAACATTTTGTATTATACAAATGACAATTTCCAGATGGGAAAAACTAGTTTGGATGGATGGAATATTTATTTCTCAATTTGAACAACTGCACACTTGGATATATATTTTGTTGAGTAACAATCGTCTGAACTACCAATTAGCATTTTATGGTACAAGGGTTTGAAGCTTTTAGTTTAGTAGTAGAAAAGATTTGTAATTCAGAATAACAACAACAACTGATTAATGTTCTCTGGACCTTAAGATTTAATCATCAACATACTAATCTAGGGTTAAGTGTCTTCCCTAATCCCAAATTTTCAAAGTTTATTACGACATTGAAAAGTGCTAAAGAGAATGATGGAATCAATCTATGCAACCATTAAACAACTCACTTTCGGTAAAGTTTTTTTTCACGTGACTTCATTGAAGGTACTTTAAAGTTGAACTAAATTACGAAGTCAGAAAACCCTCAAGCACATACTCAGACAAGATCAAAACATCTTTGAAAAAGTTTTTTAACGTTAAATATAAAGTCACCTAAGAACCAGTTTGTTTCAACATACAATTTGGCAATAAGAACTGAGATTAAGCGGATCAGCTTTTAAAATTTTCTCCTGATCATATATGAACAGAGGATTCCTTACTCATCTATTGCAGCGAATTCCACTAACTGCTCAACGAAATCCACATCTAGTGTAGTAAGGATTGATAACTTCAGCACGATAACTAGTAAGCAAAGAGAAACAACTAAACTGGGAGTACTAATATTAATACCAAACTGATAAACAAGAATATTTCTTTTGCATTGTTGTATAAACTGTTAAATATATAACCAACAAAAAGTGGATAATCATTACCAGAGAAGCGTTAAGTCCCCCATAAGTTGCTTGTTCCTCAGCTTCGCAATGCACATTAGGTCCCACTTCATTGCATATCCTGCTTACTGACGTGTATGTTTTGAACTGGTTTACATTATCGGCCCATGCACAAGAGGCGATAAACCATAACAGAACAATCACAATCGAGAATATGAATTCCTATCGTATATGTAGTGGTGTATAGAACTTACGTATTTACTAAATCGCGAGTCAGTAAAATAACGATCATGAAAATAGACATAATAGATGCCCATAGCAACACAGAAAAGCATAGTTAGGACACCAACAAATACATAAAACTGTGCTGCTGAGGCGAAATTCCCATACATATGTTTGCTCTCCATAGCAGGGCATCGAGGCAGCACGATGGAGTCAATACTAAGAAGAAGTGAAAAACCTGAGGGATTACTTGAAGGGGTATGTAAATTTGGCACTCCAATGCACATATGATCCGTTACCCTGACAGTCATACTTTAGCTTGACATTGGTCGAGAAGTCACACGTCGTTGCGAAAGCAAATATTGCTATAAGCTATTACGATATGATGAAATAAATGAGTAACATACAACTTCAATGATTTTAATAAAACCCTTGGGCTCTTTAAAAACTTCCCATCCTGAAGACTAGTATCATGATTAAGTCACTAAAATTTCGTGGATTTACCGATGGTTCTATCATCCCTCCAGCCTTTGTTACTTCTCAAGATGAAAGTATGTGCAGAGGGTGACACTGAAAATACAATGAACCGTGCAACGCAGAAAACTGAAAAGTGCGCTACAATCCAATACACAATACATATATAGTCTTAAATATTTATCAAAACATAGATAGGGAAATTATCGTTGGGAAAGGATGGCTCAGCATGATAAGATAAAATGTTGAAATTGAGATGAAGTGTAATCGGAATAATCATGGAAATAAAAACAAACTAGTTGGGGGTAGAAGATTTAAGGGGAAGGTGGAAGAAGGTGAAGCAGATGGCTGTAAAGGAACAAGAGAGGAATTTTAATACATTAAGACCAAGGTAGAAGAAGAGGTTTTACCAGCCTCTTTTGCACACATAATTCTGGTTTTTCGAGATGTATGGTTATTGCTTCGGCGATTCAACGAAGATGCAGTCTAATTGCCTTAGGAAGACTTCTACTTACCTTGTAGATAACTTTGAACACAGAGTCTGTCTTGACTGAGTGACCTATGTGTCACAAAGTGTTCGATTATAAAACTTCTTGCAAAGCCGTTGCCTCCTCTTTTTAGCCACACCGGACAATGTTCTTGAATATATATAGTCCCCACTAAAACAACAAAATAAGTCTTCTGGTCTAGATTTACGTTTGTAGTAATTATTTTTCCGAATTCCAAACCTCTTAATGTGTCATTTAGCTATAAGACTATACTTAGAGACATCAAATCGTTAGTTTGTCATCAATAAGTATTATCAATTAACTTGAATCGTGGCCCTTTCTGCCAAGCGAGGTCGATGAAGCCGGTAGGCCCTTCTGGAGAAGAAGCATACGTAAAAGCACGGTACAGATACCGAGGCCCAACAATTGCTTTCTCAATTTTTGTAGATTTTTGTGTTCTTGGCCGTTTTGTCCTGTAATGATTGATAATTTCTTCAGTGGTTGGCAATCTTTTATTACGCTCAGGGTACGGGAACTCTTTTGGTCGCTGGTTTTGTTGTTGTGTTTTCGGTTTTTCTTAATGTTAGTGTTTCTTAAGTCTGCGTTTCTCGGTTTCATCGCTGTATGTGAAGATGCCACAAGAATATGGAGTTTGACAACATTTTAAACAATAACACCTATAATTGAATCGCGCCCAGCTAGCGAAATGAAAAGCCAGAAGCGAAGAGGTTCGAAGGTATATTTGATAGGTTATCAGTATATCGAGGAGTGACTGATCTAAGCCGCCTAGCGACTGAAGGAGAAGTTGAGCACAGCGTTCCCACTCGTGATCTGGTTCGGGTGCGTGACCGAGCGCTTTCAGGTAGGTGAGTCCATTAAAACTAATGTGGCCAGCATCAAATGTCAAAGACTTACAGAGCCATTGATTTTATGAATTAACATGCTACTACAGATCACCCCCCTGGTGGGGTGGTGATGATCATGTAGCGGTAAATAAATACTCAAAATAAATAGCTCTGTAAGTCTTCGACATTGGATGCTGACCACATTAGTTTAAATGGACTCACCTATATGAAGGCGCTCGGTCATGCATCCGCACCAGATCACGTGTGGGAACGCCGTGCTCAACATGTAGTGCAATCGCTAGCCAGACTAGATCAGATGATCCTCGGTATATTGATAGCCTATCAAATATATCTTCGAACCTCCTCGCTTCTGTCTCTTGACTCCACTTGGTGGGTACGATTCATATTAGATGTTACTGGTTAAAGCGATGTCAAACCCCGAACACCTGTGGCATCTTCAATCCTTTGATGTGGCCAGCCAGAGGTTTAAACACAATGAGTTTGTCATTAATAAACGCTCTTCTGATAGCTTGCTATGTTCAGCAGTGTCTGGTCATCTTCCTTACCATAAAACGCCATATGGTACAATATCTATTAATGAAAAACAAGTACAATGAAAATTTCGATTCACTGTAAACTTCGTCGCCAGTTTCATCTTTTCCAACGGCACTGAAAAAAAGGATAAGTAGTTGCATATCGAATTACACTCGCACCTGTGTAAAGAGACAAAACGGGTGAAAAAGGAAAATAACTTCATATTCACGCGTTTCGTGAACATGCAATAGCTTAAACTGATTTTTATAGAGTGATTTTTCTGAAAAATTAGAAATATACACATATAAGCAAGCATATCAGCAAAAACAATTTTGGAACGAATATATATATATATATATAAACAGTTTGCTTCTTACAAAATGCAAGGAAAAATGGGGATGAAACAAAGTGTTGTGTAGTGTCTTACGTGCAGTAATCGTTTAGGTGTTCTGGAAACCTTACTCTCCTTCCAGGACGCGTTGTTTTGAGTCTGTTGTCGGATGCTGTAAAAGTACCATCGTGAGTGTTGGTTATCTGGTGAATTATCGTAATTGTGTGACTCTCATACTTCTATTGTACAGAAAGAAAATCGACACGTCCGGAGTTTCCTTCTAAATACGCGGCTTTGATGCGATCGATGCTGATGCTATCGTTAGTCCCGTTCTCATCGATTTTATATTACCTAAGTTCACGCCGAAGAACCTTGAAGGGTTCTTCATATACTGTTCTGAGAGGTCGCCGATATGAGTTGTAACGTAAAAAAACGTCTGTACTATATAGTAGGGCAAGTTGAATGAAAACATCAGTTGAATGAGGTCGACTGGGAACAGATTTAACCGAACACATTGCTTTTGTAAGCCTGATCTTGCAGGGGTTTAGATCAATATTTGTTAAAAAAGATGAAAGATCCGTGAATCCTCCTGGAAGTCGAATTGTCGTTCAGTGAACGAGTTGAGCTGCAGTATAACCAATATCAGCTTTTACTGCGTCGCGAATACCACGTAAGATGAGTGGAAGAGCGTTAATCCACTGTGAGACGTTTGTGGCTGATGGGAAAGCTTTTAGCTGTCACTGAATGCGTTCTACCAATCAATTAATCGTGGGTTGTAGGTGGTCGTTCTTAATCGTGCGATTCTTAATAGTGTAGCCAGACAATGGAAAAGTCCCGATTGCAACAGGGGTCGACAGTGTGTAGTCTTAGTTGAAGGGCAGCCAAAGTTTGCTACACATCGCGGACTGCCCTTTCAGCAGTAATGTCTTTGATGGGTACTGCTTCTGGCCATCGAGTAAAACGGTCCACGCATGTTAAAAGATAAGAATATCCATTTGAATCCGGTACATGTACTATCAAATCCAAATGAACATGGTCGAAGCGAGCATCGGGAGTTTTAAATGAGCCTAAGGGACATTTGTTATATCTAATAACCTTAGAATTCTGGCAGCTTGCACAGGAGCGTGCCCACTCCCTCACGTCTTTATTCATACCAGGCCAGCAAAACCATTCTGCTATAAGCTTGATGGTTGCACGAACACCTGGATGAGAAAGTCTGTGCAACGTATTGAAGACGTTGCGTCGATATTGTTTTGGCACGATTGGGCGATCCCTACCTGTAGATGTGTCACAAAGTAAGGTTTCGTTACCTGTTCCCATCTGTTTAATGCGCAGTTTAAGTGTTGTTGAGGCCAACTCGTGCTGAAGATCACTGTCTTTTCTTTGAAGTTGGGCGAGTTTTTAAAGGTCGATTCCTTGGAAACCGTTCAAGGAACTCATACGAGACAAGGCGTCTGCAACTACATTGTTTGCTCCAGAAATGCGTTGAATATCTGAAGTAAACTGCGAAATGTAGTCCAGTTGTCGAGACTCACGTGGTGAGTACTTGTCTGAAGAAGAGCTTAAGGAGAAAATAAGTGGTTTATGGTAGGTAAAAATGGTGAATTCACGGCCTTCGATACAATGTTGAAAATGCCGGACAGCACAATACATAGCTAGGTGTTCCCTACCGAATGTGCTGTACCTCGATTCAGTGTCTAGTGACCGTCTAGAGAAAAATGCCAAAGGTTGCTAGGAGTGGTTAACCCATTGTTGTAAGACTGCTCCGATTGCTGAGTCGGATGCGTCTACTGCGATACTAATGGGCGCTTCAGGGTCCTGATGAGCAAGCAATGTTCTTTGAGCGATATGTTCCTTAATCGTGGAGAATGCTTTTCGTGTAGTGTCATCCAGATTGATGGATTTCGCATTTCCCCGAAGTTGGTCGGTGAGGGGTTTCATAGGTAACGCGCATTTTAGTATGAATCGTCTATAAAAACTTACCAAACCGTTAAACGTGCGCAATTGCTTGATGGTGATCGCTTCTGGATAATACGGAATGGCCGTCACTTCTGTTCCAAGGGGTCGGATACCTTGCACATCGATAGTGCGTCTTAAGAAGTCTAAGGAGTCGGTTCCGATTTGGCATTTCTGAATGTTTACAGTAGTTCCATGTTTTTTAGTCGGTCGAAAACAAGGTCCAGATGCTGGAGATGCGATTCTCTGTCGGACTTGCGATTAGGCAATCATCAACATACGCATGTACGAAGTTGAGACCTCGAAAAACGTCGTCTATGAACCCTTGGAAGGTCTGTGCTGCGTTTCTCAGACTGAAAGGCATTCGCAAAAACTCATAGAGTCCGAAGGGCGTTATAATAGCGGTTTTCGGAATATCGTCAGTAGCCATAGGGATTTGGTTATAAGCTTTAACCAAATAGATTTTCGAAAAGACAGTTGTACCTTTCAAGGTAGCTGTCAAGTCGTGAATGTGAGGCAACGGTTAGCGATCGGGAATGGTTTTTGCATTCAATCGCCGATAGTCACCAGTTGGACGCCAATCGTTGCTGTCCTTTTTAGGGACCATGTGCAACGGAGATGCCCATGGGCTATTTGACGGTCGTATGATCCCTAAGTCTATCATATGGTCGAATTCGTTTTTCGCCAATCTTAACTTCTCGGGGGCCAGTCGGCGTGCTTTAGAGAATACAGGTGATCCTGTAGTCGTGATGTGTTGTGTAACGCTGCTGGTTACACACGGCAATTTCGGTTGCGATTGGCAAATGCCGGAATACTTATCGAGTAGTGGTTGATAGAATGGGTCTGTAGTGTGCTTAAATGTGACTGGAGATAACCTGCAACCAGAAAAAGAAGCCAGGCAAACAGATAAATTAGTATTTCCATCTACAAGCCTCCGTTTGTGCGTATCGATGATTAAATTGTGGTGCTGTAGAAGGTCCATACCAATGATTGA